TGTTGTGGCAAGGTCCAGTGCAGAAGCAGAATATAGAGCTATGACATCAGTTACTTGCGAGCTTGTGTGGCTTAAACAATTACTTAATGAATTGAAATTTGGAGATGACACTCACATGACACTTATATGTGATAATCAACCTGCTCTCCATATTAGCTATAACCCTGTCTTCCATGAGAGAACCAAACACATTGAAGTTGATTGTCATTTTATTCAAGAAAAAATCATATCCGGAGATATCAAGATTGAGTTCGTTAACTCAAGTAACCAGTTGGCAGCCATATTCACTAAGTCCTTACGAGGACCTAAAATTGACTATCTTTGTAACAAGCTTGGAACATATGATTTATATGCTCCAGCTTGAGAGGGAGTGTTAGATGTTAAGATGTGTGTTTATGTTAATTGGGCTCAACCCATTCTGTATTAAGGGTCTTGGCCCATATCTTACATTATAAATAAACTACCCTATGTGTATGCAAAATACACAAGGGAGATTTTTCCCAATCTTCTCTATTTCTCACACATAGTTTATGCAAGGGGAAAATGTAGTTATTTTTCTTCGGCTTCTATTTAATCATGATTGAGTTTTACTTTGGGGGCAAAACTTAAATGTAGTTGTTTATTTATTTTTGGTGTTCTCTGATAAAAATTAAAGGTCTACTAGAAAATTTACATGACAAAGGTTAGAATTAAAGATTAATAAAGTTACTTAGATGAATTCCAATTCATTGAATAACAATGATAAAAACACATAATTGTACCTAAGTTTTGTCCTTTATTGTTACCTATCATCTTTCATCTCTTCTATTTGGCATCAACCAATAATTGGCTGCATTTGTGTTGACACAAAGAATGAAGAGTTCAAAGTGAGGACTAATACATTGGTGGCAATGGCGCAAAATTTGTTGTTGTTGCTTGAACATATATGACACTATAAATACATATATACATATAGCTTTTAGTTTGCTGTGAAGAAAAAGCTATCATTTGTTAAATATGTATAGACCAATATGAAAGGTTTGGATGGGATCCAAGGACCTATATATGTGGGAACTGGTTGTGTCTTTAGGAGGCATGCATTTTATGGATATGACACCCCTTTTTGTGGGAACTGGTTGTGGGAACTGGTTGTGTCCAAGGACCTAAAATTTTGTCTAATTTTAATTTTTTTTTTCTTTTAGACCAATTAAACTTTTAAAACAATTTAATCGCATAGAATGTAGAAATAAAACGTACGTAGAATTAAAAATTAGAAACATATAATTTTAATTTATGAAATGTGTGAAATACAATTGCAAAAATAAATAAGGAGATAAAAATTGTACATAATGCATTCATTTTTTTTCTAATTTAATGATTAACTAAATGGTTAGTAAATAATTTATCTCTAACCATTAAAGTAAAAAAAGAACTAATAGTAAGTAACTTTAAAAGATTTATTCACCGTTGCAATATTTTATTTTTAATTTAATAACTAAGATTAACCACATGATAAAATGATTTTAAAGAAATAAATATTGAAGGATAAATCTTTTAAATATACTCCAAAAGTAAATTAAAGAAAGATTAAGTTGTTCTAAAAATAATTTTTGTTCTCACTTTGATTCTTGTCTAATATAAATTTTTAACATACAGTTCTCAGTATCGTTAAATAAAAGAAATGAAGAACAAAGATGGTAAGTGTTGTTATATCCCTTCTACAATAAATTTACCTTGTTAAGATCAGTTTCCTTGTTTTTTATGTTTTGAATAACCGGTTATCACTTTCACCAGTCGTAGGCGTAGGAGTAAAATGTTATGAATTAATAAACAAATACAACTTTTAACTTTTATCTTCTAATTATATAACGCTTTATTAGGTGGAAACTTTATATAAGATGATATTAATATCGTTAATCAGTATAAGATAACCAGACAAACTATATCTTTATGTGAATTGCTTTCAAGAAAGTCATTCAGGAAAAAAAAATAAAATCATGTAAACGAACACAAAATAAAAACTTAGTAGCACGATACTATTTTAAGGAGTTTGTAACTTTCAATAGAAATTTTGTAAATACCTTTTGCTATAATAAATTATTAAAGAAAATGACACTTGACATCTTTTGAACATGACTCCATCATACATACCGAGTACCCCTCTTTATTTTAAAAATCACACTAATAAATATTTAACTTTCTTTTAGGCTAGTTTAGCATGAATTTCAATTAACTCTAGATATATGCACAAGAAAATTGAATCTCAAGGTGATGCATTTGAACCTTATATATGTTAAATGTAATTGAACTAAACTTTAAAGACGCTTTTATATATGTATAAATTATGTGATTCGTTTTTTTAATTTGAACTGAGATATTATTATTTGATTTTGAATAGGTTGGGCACACTATATGTTGAAAATTTCACACACTTGAAAGTATTAAAATAACGCTTCTGTGATATTAAAGTGCAACTAAAAATAAGAGGAGGAAAACAAAGGAGCCTGCAGGTTTGACAAAAGAGTAACGTATATTTACAGAGATATGGAGACAAAAGCTTCGAATAATTCAAATTACGGGTGTGTTGTCGTAAAAACATCAATACAAGAACATAAACCACATCGTATTTTACAATGAAAAATTTTAAAATGTTTTTGACTATAATATTGTAATATGATTGTCCTATCCTGAATTGCAAAATCAAGTCCAGTATACCAAACAGACTAAATTTGAAAAAGTAGATTAAAGAAGAGATAGAGAATGTGTTGTTTTTATGGTTGGAAATATAATATATGTTTGGAAGTTGTGATGAGTTTGTTGCATGTTGAGTAAGTTGGTATCACAAAGGAGATGAAAAGTTGCGTCATGCGAATAATTGATGTTTTTACTCATTCCTGTATGACTGGTAACTATCGAAAGAGAGCCTCATATATGAAATAATTAGCTTAATTCGTAGGAAGAAATAAATTAATGGGAGTCTGAGGAAGAAGAAGTCCAAAGGGAGGCAGAAAGCAAGCGCCGAGATTTCCAATCCAACACCAACTTATTAGTCCCCAACTCCTCCACCCGATATCCGTCGTTGAAAAGACCCAGTAGAAGCTTCGCTTGGCAATGATTGGCGAAGCTCATCGGGACTCCCCTGAACCCTGCCGCACCCAACCACTCCCCCCATGACCTTCTCTCCTCCAGCTCTTCACCCGTCCGATATATCCGGGCCAGCGAGCCAACTATCCTTGGGCCTAAGAAAATCCGCTCTACAAGGGCCCTGGCCCGCCCCTGCATCGGAAACCCAGCCTCCAGCGAGTCAAACACCGCCGAGTAGTGATGCAGCGAGTCCATGAACCTTCCCACGAACCCTCCCACACTGGACCCCACCTCTTCCTCCACCAAAGTCACCAGCCTCGGCTTCAACTCTTTCGCTCCACTCAAAAACGACGCAATCGAATCGGGCGCGCGGTAACTCAGGTGCGGCAAGTTTAACATACAGTTAAAAACCAAAGCCTCTCCGCGAACCAGCTTCAGAGAGGAAGGTTTAAACGTTTCGTCGGGATCCAACCTGCACTGGTGGAACGTGAACGGCTGCACAAGGGATGCGGCAAACGCCGTCAACCGCCTCCCGGTCTCCTGCACGCTGGCGATGGAGCGGCGTCCGGTGCCGGTTCTGGACAATGCTGTGATTCGAAGGTGTGGGCCCGGTGGACCTGTTTTGTCGGAGGCAAGGGCCTGCATGAGAGAAGCCCACTGGACGCCCTCCATGATGTCGTAGTCTACGATGTGGACTCGGCGCTCGTGGGCCACGGCCTCGAGGATGGCCTGGTTGGCGGTGAAGTGTCCGAACTTGACGTAGGGAGATATGTCCTGGAGCAGTTGGAAGGCCGCGAGGGTGTCGTTTTGATGATGATGATGATCGTCGCGGGGGTGGTGGGACCCACATGTGATGTAGTAGTGATGTTTGCTGTTATTGTGCGCACCCCCGGCGCCTTCTAGCAGGCCCTGGAGTGCGTCGGTGAAGTAGGCGGCGAGTCTCTCCATGTTGGAGCCGTGCGAGGCGTGGGACACCAAATCCCTGAGCCGAACCAATATCACTCGAGCCAGGTCGCGACTCTTGGTGGCGCCGGTGAGGGCCTCCGCGGCGGCCATGAGCAGATGGACCAGTCTTAGGCCCTTGGAATCGTCGGCGGCAGCCGTTTCTTCCTCGGCGTCATCTTCCTCGGTTATGGAGGTGGAGGGGGAGTTACTGGCGGCGTGGTCTTCGGGGCTGGGGTACTCGGCGGGACCGTCGGAGACGATAGAGTCGATGAGGTGGTGGAAGTCATCGTGGGATCCGGTGAAGGCGTCCCAGTTGACGAGGGGGGACCAGTGGTTCCAGTTGCAACCGTAGTCGTCGTCAGAAGAGGGGGTGGTGTCGGTGATGGTAGTGTATCCGGAGAAGTGGAGGTTGTGGATTGCATCGATGTCTGTGTTAATGTCTATTTCCATGGTTGTTGGAGTTGAGTATGTTGGTGGGTGGGGAGAAAAGAAGAGAGAATAGCAAGAAGGTGTGGGTAGATGTAGAAATGGTGTTGTGTTGTGTGGGGTGGGGTGGGAGATTTATAAAGGGGTTGAGGATGGAAGAAGGGAAGAAGGGTCTGGAGCATGCGACAGTAGAAGTCCAAAAATTGATGGGTGACTACAGAGTTTTGCGGCCGATGACTGCCCAGTTTATGTTTCTTTCAATTTCAATAAAATATTACCTATTCTTCATCATTACTAGTGCCGTTTTTTATGGATTTATACAACTTTTTAACTTTTAATTTACTCATAACCCCTTCCTTCTGTTTCTACTTATCTTGCAATTCCCTCCTTACCAATCAAAGAAATCAAGAATTAATTTATAAAAAAAATACATCTTCAAAAAAAATTTATAGTTGAATATTGCGTTATATACAAAGATATAATTACTTATGCTTTTAATATAATTTGTTAAATTTTTTATTCATATTTACAGATTTTGATGAAGTTATTTGGATGAAATACGTTTGTGTCCTCATAAACATGATATAGAAATCATCAACACGAAAGCTAAGTTTTGTTCAAAAGTTTAATTTTAACCTCATACGATGCATAAGGAAAAAGACATATAGGCCTCAATATCTCATAGTGGTATCTCAAAGGAAAAATGTTAAAAAAATTTGAAAACTCTCTCGAGCCTATCTCAGTGGCCTAGCCACGTCATCTTGAAGTGTCGCTCTCTCATTGGCCGAGACCATCTTCATCCCACGTCAGCACTTGGGGGGAATGTCTTCTCCTCTGCCATTGGTTGAAGTTCAAAAAGTCTCCACAGAGCTCAATTAGAATATAGGAGGGCACACAATTTTCATTACCGAGATAAACTTCTAAATATACGAAGGGCTATGGAGTGTCTACCTTTAAGGGCACACACATATACTTTCGATAACGTATTCAGTGACATAACTCCTCGTTTAGGGTTTTTAAATAAATGATCCCACCCATGCCTAGAGCTCTTTCATTGCGTTATTCCCAGTTGCAATAATCGATGCTGCCGCCAATAAACGTGACGAGCCAAGTTAATTTGATGTAGAATTACTTTTTTCAGCTCAATACCAAAAGAAATCCAAAAGCGCGTTAAGAGAATCTGCATTCCATGATGCACAGGGCACATGGTGCCCGCTGAAACTTCCCACCCCACCTCGTGTCAGCACAGAGGATCATGCTCTGCTTTATAACCTACTCGTTCCCGGTCAATATAGATGTTGGGTTGAATGGGGATCCCCCCCTCATTTGGCTGTCGAACGAGTGTTAGGAAGGCAACTATCATCATGTGTTCCTCATATTTACCCCACCACGTGCGTTGACGATTGACGAATTCGGATCCCCAGGCTCAGGTGCCTGTACCCACTCCAGAAATTATTTGTGGGGGAGGCCATAGGATCATTTATAGCCTGGCCAGAAGCATTGTCATGTCACCCACACATCGCTACTGCACAGGTAAATGTCTTTGTTATTTAGTATTTCTATGTTAAGTTTAAAAATATTTGTTGATAATTCTTTGATGAAATTATTATCTTCAGTTCACACGTCCTCAGAAGCAGCCAATTCATGATAAAGTCATACATGAAGATGATGACATGGTTGAAGCGGAGGATGATCCTCTATCGAAAGCTAATGACAAGATTATCCAGGTTGAAGAGAGCACCATTATACTATACGGGGATTAAGAGTATTTGGTCTGTCCCCCATGTGCTAGTATTATCACATTGGTCTGATGCCTTGAAGGTGATTGGGGGAGACAGGATGTTGAAGAATATTTCCATCATTCAACTGTGGTGCACTGTAAGATAATTAATTTTGTCTTACCATAATTCCTTTTTTTAATTCCTATAGTTTCTAACAACTTAAACTTTGTTGTTTTAGGTACATGGACACAATCATTTGAGCACGGTCGGTCTTCATGTTACGGATTTTTTGAACCTTAGTCATTCAACCTTCTGGTAACACACTTGAAACAGACAACCATTATTTTGCACAGGATGGATAGTCAAAGAGACGTATACCTTGTGCATACATTTATGGGTAGGTGTTTTGTTTCTATGCAAAAGTTATTATTAAAGTTCTTATTATTTAAATAACTATTTGTCCTTCGTGATGGTCGCAACTTGCAAAGCTGATGGTCATCTTTCCTCAAACATGTAAATTATATGGTTTTGTTCGTTGCAACGAAGATGAAAAATGACTTGAGTGACCATGCTTCAAGGTAGGTGTCTTCTTCTTTCTTCTCCAAAAATGCTTGAATTGATGTTCACCTTAAAGCTTTTTATGATAAATATAGTTTATGATAATTTTACTTTTGGTTTTCAATCTGTATAAGTTATTGATAAATCTCGAGGTCAACTAGTTCAAATTTTGGTATCCAAGGTTTGTAAGTCCATTTATAAGTTCTAATTCATTTTCTATGTTATTGATGATCTAATTCTTGACTATTTAGTTTGTCATTTTTAGTGTACCAGCACAAGATTTCATTGAATGGGCTTCTATGTCATGTGTTGGATTAAGACCATCTTCGAGTTAATCATTACAGATGACTGGAATGAGGTAATGAATGCATACCTTGAATACATTACAAATCAAATCTTCTTTACATATATGAAACCATAATGAATCTTTCTTTAATTTTGCACCGCTTCAAGAGTACATCTCCTATACCAGAGGGCACAATTAGGCAGATAAGGCAGGAGTGGACAGCTTATCTTCTGCAAAGATGGAGTTAGGAACACTTTTATTTGTTGTTGAACATATCTTAGTTTAAGTTTTAGTTTAAGTTTATATCTTTATAGTTTTTGGTATTGGATTATTTGTACATTAGTAATTTTCTTTATAATGAAACGCATATATACTATACTATATTATTTTGGGACAATTTTCTACTTTTCAGGAGTGGTTTTAATGCAAAAATAAATTAATTTAAAAAAAAACCCCAGTAGACGTCGATTAGTGCATTGACGGACGTCTATAGACGTCTGGTAGTGCACAACCGCCGTCCACCCCCCTATCCCTAAACAACCCGTTTCAAAGCATATGGACGTCAGGGGTATCTTCTTCCGATGTCTATATAGACGTCGGGGGTATGCCTCGGACGTCTATATAGACGTCGGGCCTGACCACAACGGACGTCTATATAGACGTCCGAGTCTTACCCCCAACGTCTAACTAACGTCACCCACAAAGACGTCGGGTACAGACCAGACGTCAAAAAACCAAAAGAACAGACGTCTAAAACCCTTTCTGCACTAGTGTTTGTAACTTTCAATAGAAATTTTGTAAATACTTTTGCTATAATAAATTATTAAAGAAATGACACTTGACATCTTTTGAACATGACTCCATCATACTACCGAGTACCCCTCTTTATTTTAAAAATCACACTATAAAATATTTAACTTTCTTTTAGGCTAGTTAGCATGAATTTCAATTAACTCTAATATAGTCACAAGAAATTGAATCCAAGGTGTTTGCATTTGACCACTATTATGTTAAATGTAATTGAACTACCTTAAAAAGACGCTTTTATATATGTATAAATTATGTGATTCGTTTTTTTAATTTGAACTGAGATATTATTATTTGATTTTGAATAGGTTGGGCACACTATATGTTGAAAATTTCACACACTTGAAAGTATTAAAATAACGCTTCTGTGATATTAAAGTGCAACTAAAAATAAGAGGAGGAAAACAAAGGAGCCTGCAGGTTTGACAAAAGAGTAACGTATATTTACAGAGATATGGAGACAAAAGCTTCGAATAATTCAAATTATGGGTGTGTTGTCGTAAAAACATCAATACAAGAACATAAACCACATCGTATTTTACAATGAAAAATTTTAATGTTTTTGACTATAATATTGTAATATGATTGTCCTATCCTGAATTGAAAAATCAAGTCCAGTATACCAAACAGATTAAATTTGAAAAAGTAGATTAAAGAAGAATAGAGAATGTGTTGTTTTTAGGTTGAAAATATAATATATGTTTGGAAGTTGTGATGAGTTTGTTGCATGTTGAGTAAGTTGGTATCACAAAGGAGATGAAAAGTTGCGTCATGCGAATAATTGATGTTTTTACTCATTCCTGTATGACTGGTAACTATCGAAAGAGAGCCTCATATATGAAATAATTAGCTTAATTCGTAGGAAGAAATAAATTAATGGGAGTCTGAGGAAGAAGAAGTCCAAAGGGAGGCAGAAAGCAAGCGCCGAGATTTCCAATCCAACACCAACTTATTAGTCCCCAACTCCTCCACCCGATATCCGTCGTTGAAAAGACCCAAATATTCTACGTAAATGATCCAGCGAATAAAAAATGGTCAGTGGTTTTAGAAGGAAAAAACATGCATGGACATGATGATGACGATTCTCTTAATATACTTGAGACAACATCTGTTGCATCTAGACTCATTGAAGACCCAGTTGATGACGTTGCCGATGTCATTCAGGCAATTCGTAGTGATCACAATGAAAGGATTTGGGAGAAAACAATATCTTAATAGGTTGCGATATTTTTTGTATTGACTTTACATTTATGTTCATCATAATTGAATTATTACTAACCTTGTATAATTTTTCAGGTATGTCGGCCTCAGACTCAGGATCGGGACAGACCAGACGTGGTCGAGGCGTCACACGATTGATAGATGTGACATCCGGACGCGTTGATGGGCAAAGGAGACATGTTGACATTGACCCTAGATCAGGTCAGGCATCAGGGTCGAATGCTGATAGTTTTAGGAGTTATCTGGGTAACTTAGCAAAAAGTCATGTCTCTATCCTTCATGCAACTTGGGATGACGTCCCAAAGGTCGACAAGAACCTCTTATGGCAAGATATTCAGGTATGTTAACTTAAAAGAATTTTGATATACTTATTTCTTTCATCTTTTCTTATCAATAACATGTTTTTTGTTTTAAACAACAACATTATGATATTCCAAACACAATACAAATTAGAAAGAAAGTGTTATCGCATATAGCGATAAGATGGAGGGATTTCAAGACAAGGCTGACACGACTATATGTCTTTGGAGACAGACAACATGAAAATCCATGTCAGCAATATACCTTCACAGAGGAAGAGTGGATACAGTTTCGTGCATCTAGAGAGTCTGAGTAATGGAAGATATGTTTCTTAACATCTGAAAAGTCTTTCGTTGAGTTCTTATTATTTTACACTTATTTATATACATGGTTTCACAGGGTAAAATGTT